ATGATCTCAAACCAAAACTCACAGCCATCTATGTGACAGAAAGAATGTGTCACACAAACAGCAAAGAACAAGCTTACACTGTGTAGAGATGTTCGTTTAAAAGCAAGCTTTTTAGAAAGCATTACAGGAGTAATGAAGCACATCTTCTTTTGAACAGGGATCTCAACAGACTCCTGTTGGTTCACCAGATAACCACTATGGTATGCGTTGTAGTTGCTCAACATCACAGTTAAGCTGTGAAAACCTCCTGCCCACCCTGACATCTGGTTGGCATCGTTCAACGGCCTCATCAATACAGCGCTCATCATCATTATCAGACAGAAGATTCGTCATGAAACACTTTTGTGAAGTTTGTTTGCATCTGAACCCACTCTCCCATGGACTCAGACCCGCCCACACACAGTGAAACATACACATGCATATTATAGACAACCACATCTCTCTCAACTGTGGGGGAGCTTGGGAGTATGTTAGAAACACTGCGGTACTTGGGGTAGGCTTGCATTCTAAATTACTAACTCATATTTAAATATCCCAATAAAACCCTGGGATTCAGTAGAGTCAATTTTGCCTCAATGGGAAACATCTCTGGATTACTTGTGGAGTTATGCTTTCTTTACACTTAAAAACAGTTTGAATTCCTCTTCCTGGTTTTTTGTTTTGTAATTTTTTTTTTCTGTGGTCTTGATGTGTTGGTTGTTGATTAGCTAGGTTAGGAAAATCAAGAACATTGTCCAGAGACAAATTGTCAGCCGCCTTCTAAAACTAGGAAACCAAATTTTGCAGAGAAGTTGTATGCCTACATAAAACAAGGGTAGTGTCAAAGGAAGATCTTTTAAATTCACAATTATGTAAGCGACATTGAGGCCTGGTGAGAGCATCATCAAGCTAATACACCATGAATGCTGGTGCATTACAAAAACAAGATGGAACAATGAACACAGCATAGAGGATCCAAATTGTTCAACTTCAAATCAATAGCTTGATCAGGGCTTTGCAATCCAAAGAGCCACTTTGGATATTTTTTATAAATATTTACTCTTAAATGTGCTGCATTTTTTAAGCACCACCTTTAAAATTCTATGTTGGTGTTGAATAATAAAGAACAAACATACAATTTGCAAAAAGAGGATGGATGACATTTGTGGAAAAAGATGTTAAAATAGATCATCATTTGCAACTTAATGACAAGAAAAATACACGTTTATAATGTTACTGGTACTTTGTGTCACAGCATTGTTGAAATTCAATACAATTATTCCACATTGAACATTTTGTTAAAGCCTGCATTTTTAAGAAATATGTCAATATCAGATTACATTAGTTTGTTCTTTATTGTTTTTGTCAAAGTTGAGAGCCATTGTGGAAGGTCTAAAAGGCAACTTGCAATCATTACAACTTTTTACTAGGCACTCTTTGTTCTGAATGGACAATAATCCCAAAAACACATTGAAATTCCTTCCCAATGAGGACAGCTTTAGGGTTTCAAATTATATTGATGCCGTGGTTTACATTTTCTGCATCTTGAGTAACAGTGCCGAGGTTATCTGAACAACTCCATCTCCTTTACGTCCCTTTTGATGCCTGCAGAGATCTCTCAAGCACATTAGTGGAGACATAATGTGTTGCAGGCCAGAGGCAAACTTGTTGAGAAGTGAGTCACAGTGTGACGGTCAGTGAGATTTAAAGACCAAATCAAATACAGATCTGGTTTTAGTCTAGCCTGAACTAGACTTTGCGGTTTCTGGATTTCATAATAAAGTCGTTGAATCTGTGAAGGAGTGTGTGGTAAATGCAACGATTGCAGGGCAAGTATTTTTACACAGATAAATGGAAATTTGATCAAATTTTTCCAAAATCACTCTTTTGTGTTTTTGCTTGAATGTCAAGCTGCCTTTGAACTATTTAATATGTGACAAAAGTTATACAAATATTTATATGAAGCTGGCTTCAGACAATAACACAACCATATTTTCCTTTGCTGTCAAGACATGTAAACAAGAACAATGACCACAAAATTAATCAAATGACATCAAGCAGATCTACAGACTCTAAAGTTTCTAAAGCTTCTCTTATATGAGAAAACGTGTTACAGAAGTTCTTTCTTGGCATATTATTCCACAGGCGCCCCAGCACTCAATCATCATGACCGAAGCCATGCCTCAGCACATATTGAACACAGGTGCAAGAACTAGGAATGTTTTAAAATGCAAAAAAACGTAAATATAACTCAGTGGCGCTACAACAGGCTGGCTATTTGGTTTATCTGTATGTCATCCCAGCTAAGAAAAATACAGTTTTGGCGAGATTAAAAACTATAGAACAAAGTATCCTTGAGCAACTTCTTCAGGTCTCCCAGTAAAATATCAGCCCTGCGGTGTCAGCGTGTTGAAAACAGGGAGTGTATGCTGTGTGTACGCTTCTGATGCAAAGAGGCCTGCATTACATGGGAAGTGGTGAATTCTCCAGCTGCTCCCAATTCTCTTTCTGTTCTGTCTTGGCAGAGGGTACAGACCACATGCTAATGCGTACAGCCTCTCAGTTTTCTGTGTTTCTATCTTCAGTCACAGGCTCTGAAGCGTAATATGCATGACATTCGCAGGAAATGGGTGACATCCTCCGACAGAAGATGAAGACAAAAGGGGACTGACGGGCTCTATCGGCGGACTGAAGCAGAAAATGCTGGAAAACAGCCAGACTCTTTTAAAAGTTTGTCCTTTTTTGCTAAATGGGTGACAATGGCAGATGGCCCAGAAAAGATAGAGAGTCACGTAAGATATCTGGAGCAGGAAGGGAAAGAAGGGAGGAAAAGTTCCAATAATAGCTAGGTCAAAAGGTAAAAGCACAAGGCAAACAATGGAGATGCATCAAGTTTACCTTGTCCAAGCAAAGTCACTAAAGCTCCTAAAACCCTAGAAATGAATATCAATTACAGTGTTTTACACTGAATAATATGGCAAAAGTTGTATTACTCAAATTTGCTGTACAGATCCTTAAAATGCCCAAATAAAAAATTACTCGACCCAAAATCGTATCTTGAAATTGTCAGAACACGCCAACAGTGTTCCTCACCTGAGGCAAAACCTTCATAATGATTTCAAACCGGTGATGGCTTGTCAGTAAAGTTTTTTATACTTTTCAATATGTTTATGACTGTTTCAAATACAGTTATTCACATAAAATGTTTCAAATTTTAAATCACATTAAAGCCACAAAAAAAAAGCATTAGATAATGCTGCCACCATATTTCACCACGGATGACGTGGAGAGGTGGATAAATCCATACAGTGTTTCACATGTTGGTCAGAAATTAAATTTTATTCTTTATCTGAAAAGACCAAAATTGAAACATGTGGAAACATCTTCAACATGTTTGCTACGTCTCTGCCACAGCTGCAAACAGGTACGTTTAATGGCTTTCTATTCACGAGTGGCGTGCATGTTCTACCTCATAAAATCCTGGGAAAAAAAACATTCAGGTATGTGGTTGTAACAGGTCAAAATGTGAAAAAAAGTTCAAAGGGTGTGTTATTTTGAGAGGGACTTGCAAAATGTTCACAGCATTAAGAGTTAGGCAGGTCTGAGAAGGAAACAGAAAAAAAAATTATTAGATTACATCAAAAGCAAATTGCAGCAAACTAATTTAGCTGCAGAGCAGAAAGATATTCCTTTTAGCACAGAAAAAAGGAAGATTTGGTTTCACAATAAAAACCCCAAAGGAAAGAAGTTAGATTTCTATAACATTTGTTTCCACAAGATAATCTGAGATATGTAAAAATTCTCCTCTTACAGCTCGAGACTCATTTCAAGACACGCAATTGGCAGTCTCAAGATTTACAGAATCTTGAGATTGAGTACTTTTCAAGCAAGTGCTATGGTTTCTAAAAAAGCATAATAATCCATACTAAATGAACAAAAACTAAATAAATGAAAGAAAAAAACTGTCCTGACATGATGGGAGGGTATAAAAGCTTGTAATGCAGTCAGGGATTGAAGACATAACACTAATGTTGGTACCTTGCTTCATAGGTGGGGTTGTATAGAAATAGAAAGTAAATCTGGTGTGATATAATTTCATTGAAGACCATTATATAATTGTTTTCAGTATTTGATTATATGATTTAAATGTATGTATGCAAATATTTATGTATGCATGTCCATACTGTAAATCACATTAAGAATCTTATTGCCACTATTACCTTTTTTTTTCCCCACAAGCTGGTTTATTCTTTTTATTTTTGGGAGGGATACTTCCATCGTATTTATGTAGCTTTAACATGTATTTTCTTACATTTCTTTGATGAGGGAAACAGAAGGTGGGAGAGTGGGGAAAAAAAAGTTTGCCTTGGAGCATCCAACATCTGGATGTTTGTTTTGCTGCAATGCCCCAACTAAAAACTAGTAAACACATTTTTAAAAAAATAAACAAAACCAGTGTAGACAGGATGGATAGAACAAAGAATATTTGTTTAGCCCCCTCAGGCTCAAATTACTTGCAAAGACTAGCTAAGTAGCTCTGAGCTGTTGCAAATCTGCGTGGAGAGGGTTAAAAAAAAGAAGAGTTAAGTACTTCTAGCACTTTTGAGAACAGTTTTAAAATTAGATCAATCCATGCAAGGTGACAGATTAGGTGACAAGATGTCCTAATTTCAAACAAAAAATCTTTGTCGCCCTCTAGTGGTTGCAATAAAGATAAACTACTCAGACAGAAGGAAACAGGACTTTTGTATCCTAAATTAACCCTGATAAATAAACCAATTATATTATTGTACCAATTATTCTATTAACTACCAAACAGATATTTGAAAATATGCAATCATCTTGAAACTAGCAGTGGTGTTAACTTCTTTAAAAAGTTAATGCAACACATTTTTATTACCTTTACTTATAAGCAACAGGACAATTGTATTGGTCAACCAATCAATAGCAACCACATGCCAGAGTTACTTGTTCATTAACAACAATACTCATAAATTAGTACCCTTAAATAAAATGCAACATTGGCAATGATAAATTCTTTTAATAAGATTAAATGATACAATGATTACAACAAGAGACAGTAACAATGAGGAACATATTTCTAATTTAAAATATTCATATCTACAGCAGAAAGTATAACGATGACAAAAAGAGACGAAATAATTTTTTTTTTTTTGCTTTAATGTGAAAACGCAGATATCAGGGTGCCCACGATAATTTAAAAATGAACATTTTATAGAAAACGAAACCAAGTTGCCATCCATGTCTTTTACAAACCCTTGGCTTGTTTTTCATTGAGAGCTGTGTCCACTAGGTGGCGTTCTAAATTCAAAAATGTGTTAGCATTTTGTGAGATATAACCTGTGGGCCAACTTTGGTAGTGTTGCAACTTTGACAAGTTAACTTTGATTATTAATGTAAAATTCAGCATTATAGTTTTGTTAGAAACATTTAAACTGATCAATAATATATAAACTTTACTATGTTGTGTTGTCAGATTTCCATTAAAGTTTCAAGGCACTCAGCATATAATTATTCATCAACACAATCCTGAAAAAAAGGCACATTAAGTCCCATCGCTTCATAAACAATGACAAGTGTAGCCAGGGTCTTTTATAAATTCTTGTTTGCTCTCAAAAACTGCAGGTACTGTATTAAGAAGTATGGGGGGGGGAGAGAAATCTTTATTTTAGCATTAGTTACAGAAGGTTCAACTCAATTTAAATCATGCAAGTAAGGCAAATAAATATATCATCTTCTTGTAGAAAGCAAGACTCAACGGCTTAATTCATTTCTGACAGTGTTGCATGTAAATTTCACTTATATTATGATTGTAATCCCAGATCCAGATGTGGAAGTCAGGTGTCAGCAGGCTTTGCCACATTTGCATGTTACCGGTGGTTTGTTAGGGTCTTGTACGCCTAGTAAGGATCCATCTGAATCCTCCTGTGCAAGCAGCAGGTGAACACCATCCCACAGATCTGAAAACAGCAAGTGTTAAGTCAAATGCTCTCCAAGGGAGACTGTGGGAACATTTAAAGCTGTGGACTCAAAAGCAGTGGAGGGTTAAAAGGTGATGGAGTTGGAGGCTATTTGAAAGTATGAAGTTGGTTACTATGGAAATGGGGGGGATGGACCAAAGCAGTCATTACCGCAACATCAGCATGTGTGCACAAGCTTGCAAAAACAAACAAAATGAAGCCGGAGGTGTTGGGAAAGTGTGCACATATTCAGACACAAATATCTGCACTTTGATTGCTTTTTTGAGACCTTTGAGTAACTCAAGATATTCTGACTAAACTGCAACTTAAAAGTTTTAGAAACAGTTACAAGTTTGTTAAAATTAATTCATCCGACTCGCAAGGTGCTAGTTCACAGATAAACAGAAAGCTCAAATCAATCTATCAATCTTCTATACGAGTTTCCAACGGTCATTGGGCAGGCGGGTACACTGGACAGGTCAACCAACCATCACAAAACACAGTCATGTTTTTGGACAGAGAGAAGATACACTTATAAGAGGAATATGAAATCATGTGCAGAAAGAGCCTAGACCAAGATTCTTAGGTCTTAGGGCAACAGTGCTACCGAGTGGGACGCTGTATGTCCTAAAATGCAAAAATGCTACACTAAATTACTATTACAGAAATTGTCTAAAACCAAAGGTTTTTTTTAAATCCTGATGTTCAGGCAAGCCATTTTTGAGTCTCTCAAAGCCCTGAAAGTCAAGCAAGTCATGGATTGCCATCTACATGGCTTCTGTTGTAGCAACTTTCAAATTCCAAAGGCAGAAATGCTTTACTTTAAAACATTTTAGATGATCCTTTTTCTTTTCCAAATGGGTTCTAAAGCATGGCATTTGCCATCATTTCTATTGGAATCCCTGACAAAAAATATCATCATTGTACTTTTGTGTAAAGTGCACCATAAGAAACATACGAAACGCAAAGCTTCCACTGGCATTCACAGTTATTTGTGAGGTTTCATCTGTTTACTGTGTTCAGGTAGATGCAAATTTGAGAGAAAGGTGCATTGAGAGCAGCTGAAAAACACTAGTAAATACATTTCATGATGCGTAAAGTCAAATACTGCTTAGAAAAAGGTTGAAAAACTTTATTTGAGTTATGTTTGCATGCAATTAACTTTCGAACCATATGTTAAAGGAGTAATCTCAAAATAGAGGGGAGACATACTACAGTAAGCCTTGTTCTTGAGATGTTGCATGAAGATATGGCCCGCAGGAATCAGACACATATAATTTTTTTCTATTTTACATTTTTATCAAGACCATAGGATCACACGCTGATGGTTACAAGGTACTTGACAGCTGCACACTGAGAGGCGAGGCTGTCAGGTATCAGCCTCATTGCTGCTGATACTTATGATCTTGTGTGGGTTAAGCACAAGGACAAAGAAGTGGAAACCGAACCGACAACCCACCAGTGAATTCCTACCACTGACGCCACTATCGTCACAAATACACATATAAATGCTCATTTGTCCTGTTGTTTTTTTTATACGAAATTCAGTGAAAAAAAATGTCCAACTACTTAATATGCTTCAGGTTATTTTCTGTAGCTTTGCCCTTTCTGACAACAAACGCATTTTGAAACGTGGAGCTGTGTGAAAACACAAACTACTTCCTATTAACTATGGAAATGCACAATAGGCAGCTGGGCAGTTTTAACTAAGCTATTCACTGGCAACTTTATTTTATTCTTGACGTCCCATTACAACAACATGCATTAGCAGCCAATTTTCATACAAAGCCATGCAGATGCATGCTTTAAGCAGCACAAAGACAAAAAATAAATGTACACAGAATGAAATCAACATTCATTCGGTGTACATGCAGACTGCAGATTTTACATCTGCCACAGAGCATGCATGCAAACAAGGACAAACATGCAGTCGAATATCCACACAGCACCTTCCAACCTTGTCTATCCATTTGATTAAAAGCACCAAGGAGCTCTAGAGCCAAATTACAATGCACCAAAGTCCTCTTCCTCTTCCTTATAGAGCAGATAGATAAAGCAGGCTGTCAAGAGTGCCCCGGCAAGCTATAGTGAAACCAAACATACAAAACAAAGACATTTGCAACACATGTAAGTCAGAATAATATAATACAGTTGCTGGGTTAACATCAAACATAAAAAAAAAAAAAATTATGTTGCCATGTTAAGTAACAGACAAAAAGTTAGAGTGAATGAGAGATGATGTAAGGATGTCCCATGAAGAAAAAAAAAAGCTTTGGAATGGAAAGGCTTAGATTAAACAGCAAAGTTCCCACAAGTCCAACTCAAAAATTCATATTTTTAAACTTAAAGCAGGTCTGCAAACAATTTGGAGAAATTCCACAAAACATAAAACAATATCCACTGGTCATTTGGTACCTTCACGGTTATTTAAGTAGTGTTAGATGTTTGGACCAGTGCGTTTCAACCCAGCTTTACTATACGACGACTTCAATGCTCTGAAGCAATTTTCTGAATTGTGCTCATTGAGTGACAAGGAAATCTGCTTATGCAATGGGTCATTGCAAAACTGGTTAACTGACACAAACAGGTATCATATACAGATATCATACAGTATGCATACAAAAATGACTGATAGTGAAGCATACATTTTGATTGTGGGCAAGTTGGATTTTTATCATTTGTTTTTGTTTCGTTAAAGATAAAAAGTTTGCAGTTCTTTTTCCTACACACATTTTTTTTCTATACTAAAAAATTCTTTAGTATAAGTACTAAAGAATTCTGAAAAAACTGAAGAAGGTTGATTCAAAAAAGAATCAACCTCTTCTTTTTTGAGGTCGGCATTGTCCATTTTGAAGCTTTTGAAATGAAACACGTTTTATAGCGACAGTAAATGGAAAGCTGACTTTTACTCATTTCCGAACAGCACTATCCATCGTTAATGCAACATCTTATCTTTTGCTATTCCAAGTCTTCACTGCTTCGGATGCAATTCAGACCTTGAATCTTTTTCCATTAGGGTTCTGATGCTCAATTAAAACTGAACACACTGCAGAATGGGTCAGAAATTTTCTTTGAGAGCAAGAAAACGGGAATGGGAATGGGACTAATAAGACGCTGCAGACCAACAGAAAAACAGTCAACTTCCAAAAAACATACAAAATATTACATCAGTGTTTTTTATGTTCCTATTGACCACCAGCTTGAAAATCACATTATCTTATAAAAATGAAATACAGCATTACTATTCACATTAAACATTTTTGTATGCTAAGCCTATTGGACAGAGAGTCCATCATCCATCAAACAATAAAGCTCAAAGGACCCATTTCCAGTGGTGAATGATGCAACACCAATGAGCACTTTTGAATGTTTTTGTTGATGTTCTCATCAGGAGTGTTTTTGCATGGGGTAAACAGAATGGTATGGCAGATTAGAGTATATGCATCAAACGGCTTCATGTTGTTTAAAAGCATGGGTCCATTTCAGCAAACAAAAAGGACTGATGATGAAGCAGAGTCATCAGTGTAAAATGGAAAAAACACTAATATATATAAAGGTTTCTGACCTGCCATGTTACAATTTTCAGTAATAGAAAGATTAAAAACCCGTCCACTGGCGTTGTGTAAGGTCTTTATTCAACAGAGGCCAGAGGCTCATTAGTTTTTAAAATAAAGCCTGATTAAAGCAGATTTTTTTGTCGTTGTTGTTTCCATGGACAGCAGTATTCTGCTTCTCGACACAACATTACCACACCGTCATGTTCTACTTACCTGAAGACAGGCCACACCAATTCCCACCGCACCAATAACCAATAGATGGTCTGCAAGGAACTGCTCCAGCTTAGTGATGCAACCACCCTGGAGAGGGTAAACAAGTCATTTACAAGAGAAGCCAATGAACAGACAAAACACTGTTTTGCATTTCCACACAAGTAAACAAAAACTTCTACAGCAAACAAGAAAACGTCCCACCGGGGGAAAAAAAAAGAGATTTTTCATTATTATTTACTTAATATATTCTCAGCTTGCTGTCATCTAAGCATTGGTCCCCAAAAGAAAGTAAAAAAAAAATGCAGTAGTGCAAAAACTATAAAATGTACTGCATTTTTTATCTAAACCTAAAATATTACAAATGGATGCATCATAAATTGTTTGTGATGACCATTTCATAGTGTTGAAGTAGTCATATTTATGCCTCAGCAGACAATCTAGATATATTGCTGAGCATAATTATAATTATACTTTTGTTGCTTGTCTTCTCCATGTAATAACACTAGATAACATAGACTTTGTTTCCAAGGGCTTTTAAGATCAGTCAGGATGGCACTTACCACCTTTCCAGAGGAGATGAACACTCACCTCCACTTTATAGATGTTGGAGGGATGGTCCCTTCTGCCACAGTCAGGCGTAATGGTTTTACAGCAGCTGTCAGGCACCACCCTGTTCCCCGACTGCTCTGACCTAATGTACACACTCAGCATCCAATCCTGCGAGTTGTTGCTGCCACAGCACTTGAACTGGAGAAGCAGAAAAATAGTGCAAAGGGTTGGCTGGTGTCTTATCAACCTAAAGTATGGAAACATAAAAATCTGATTTAGGTTAAATATATATATATATTTTTTTTTTTGTGCAACTCATCTCCCAACATCAAAATTTTCTAGGTTTACTTCTTATGTCAACCATAATGACAACCACAGAACAATAAGTTTTGCAGCATTTTTAGGTAAAGTTTGAAGTTACACCCACGTAATTAACAACAAGTGTACTTGATGATGCTTGCTGCCAGAGCAAGCAAGTGGAGACATAAACTCAACCACATTGATTAACTTTCAAATCTCTCTCATACATCTTGTTGCAGTCTGTCCACTGCGGATGTGATTGTTTTCTTCCCTTGCTGAGCATAATTCTCAGTCATTGTCTGGTTGAGGTGCTCCTTCAGTTCATCACTCAGCTATAAAAAATGCAAAGAGAAGAAGAGGCACAAAATGAGAGCAAAGAAGGAGACACTTATTTTGATGAAGAAGAAGTATTGAGTGTGTTCCAGAGATTTATTATGAAACATGTTAAGCATACCCAACAAGAAAATACAGAATCTTGGGGCAACAAGCACAAAGTTGTTGTTTTTTGTTTATTTTTGTAACTAAAAAATAGGTTTGAGTTTAAATCTATCACGTTCTCCTGGATCTGACTGCGGACTACTAGTAAAAGTTCTGAAAGCCATAATCAGAAATGAAACCTCTCCAATTAAAGGAAAAGAACATTTTGATTTGACAAACAGAAAAATCGTTTCTACTTGTGTTAATTACATGCCTCAAATCTGAACTCTTGAGGTTTTTTTTAAGAAAACAAAAATACATCAGTAAAACTTAAGGCAATTTTTGTTGCTGTAAAGCTTGAAATATTAAAATTCTCCACAATTTCATCCGAAACCTTTTTGCTGTGGTTACGGTCATGTGTTCATGACTGCTCTCTAACAAAGCCGGAGACTTTCACAGAACAACTTTACATAACCATGACTAAATTACACAGTATGACTCTGGTAAATACTGAAAGCAGCAGCCAGCACTAGGTTTCAATTATAGATAAGAGGCGGCCAAATACAAATGTATGTTTTTGGGGGGCATCAAAAAATTTGTTGGAAATCATGTCTACTTGTTTTGCCAATTTAAAGTTATAATTTTGCTCGATATGGTCTGTCGCATAAAATCCTGATTAAATGTATTGCTGCAGATGAATCTCAACACCCTGAACTTTTACACATGTGCAGGTATCCCTTTCATAGTGCATTTCATTTCTGTACACCTTAAAGTTTAATCATGAGCATTCAGAACTTACCCTCTGGTAGTAAACGTAAGCCAGCACGCCAGCCACCAACTCAATCAAGAATATTAACAGCAGAAAGAAGAAATACTGAAAAAAGGACAAGAGGAGAAAGGAGAAATTTGATAAATTAGTCCTAGTATTTTAAAGCATTGAGACATTTTAGAGTCACAATCATCCACAAAGTTGTCAATTGAACCAACTTCTCAGCAGCTCAAGCTGCTTCAAACTGTGACGGCTCAATATAAATTTCCATCATCTGTCATTCAGTTGCATGCGTCACTTCTGACACAGATGGCACTGCTGCCGGAAAATAAGACGAGTAGAATACAGTCTGACAGCCTGTGGAATGTGATTTCTTTGGAGAATGTCTAATTAAAATCCAAGTATTCAAATAATGACTGTCATCTTGGTCACTAAAAGAACAAAAGCATTCATACTGCTTGAAATATCAAATTACAACTATTTTTTTTTTAAATCAGAATTTGTGAACAAACAAACAGGCATCACATAGAAAGAAACTGTGCCCAACAAGTTATTGTCTATGTATGCCTAATGAGGAAGATAAAAACTGAGCTTTTCTTGGCTCACATAATAAGAACACATTCATTTGTAAAATGGGTCCTGCACATAACACAAGCACACAGAGCTAATTAGGCCTTCCTGTCAGAGTGGCACAAAACGTTGTAAACACAGCTCTGCTGATACCTCTCCAAATCCCTTTACAGAGACAGATGTTGGCACAGTGACCAACAAAGTAACGCCAAGCTACTGATAGTAAACATCAGAAACTACTGGAGAATAACATCACCTTTTACCTAACTGTTCTCGTTTAGAGTCAACTTGGCAAAATCAGGTAAATGCCACTTTACACTTTAGTGGGATGCAACTGTCAATGGATATTAACAATCTAGGGTTTCAAAAGAGAATGTTTGGTTTGGTTTTTGTCCAGCCAGATTACATCTGTGTTTCTTTGTGAACAGTGATTTAGTATTTGATGCATCCTTGTGAAAACTAAAGATAAGTTATTTGACTGACATACTGCTCCAGCCACAGCAAAAACCAGGCTGCTCAGATGTTGTTCTCTATACTGACTGATTTTTACTCTCTGGTGTAACAAACCTGGTCAAAGGAAGAGACAGAAGCTGTCAGGTAAGGAGGGGTCAATATGTTTTCATACAACTGTAAATACTTAATTATCTTGCCTGTAGAAAGTGGTATTTTGTTGCTGCAATGGTATCATTAATAGTGTCACACAAAAACCACAGTTTCTCTGCGTTACAAAAAAAAATACGTCATTTTCTGTGAGAAGAGAAAGTGCAAACGCTACATCCAAGCATTATTCATTCCCAATAACAGCCTATAAACAGTGCATGGAGGTTGCCGTTGTTAAAGCAAACAACACAGCATATTCCTATAATCCTCTATACGTCTAGCTCGTAACTCCTCCAAGCACCTTGCTCTCTCATATTCCTGCATCCATCAACAGTTGATAGGCAGACCTATAAATAGGCCTGCAGCAGAGAACATTCACCTCCCACCTGCTTCTGTCCCTGTGGGCCCCTTCCTTGTAAAATAATGAGGACAGTGAGAGCCTCGTCAGAGTCATTTGTTACCATCTTGTGACAGACCTTTAAAACAAGGTTGGCACAGAAGAGATCCATGTGGTGCTCCTGCGCAGGTGTGATGTACCTGCGCAGAAGCAGGAGAAATTGGTGTACAGGAGAGTGATGATATGGGCTGGAGATGTTCACAGGGTAACTTGGGACCATTCAGCTGAAGCATCAGAGGCAAATATCAATTACTAATGTCCGCCTTCTTCCACCAATAACAAGTAATGGAGCAGATACACTCTCCAGCAGCACAACAATAATAATTTGGGTTTTAAAATCTCTTAAATTTTTAGGGTTGGAATAATTTCACAGAAACTTTAAAGATTTTAATTTTAGACTGGATGGACTAGTTTACCATCACTATAGATTTTCTCAAAGCCGCCCCAAGTCAAAATGGTGACTCAGGGCGTTATTGATATTTCTTGGAAAATCTAACAGGAGGCTAACATTAGGCGTCGAGAAAGGCCCTTCCCTCAATCACGTTGGAAATATATCAAATATGCTTAAATACTTCTCCACAACTAATCAATATTCATGAATATACTGCCAAATCAGAAAATTAAACATCCAGCAGAAGGTTTTTAGTGGCTGCAATAAGTGTGCAGTGTTCTCCCTCTTAGAAACAGACATTTATTCAGATACCGGTGGGAGTGCAAGAATAGATTTTTCCATTTTTAGCAGCCTTACATTAGACAAAATCTCCATTAAGGACGTAATTATTTGGTTCTACAATTTATTAAACTTATTGGTGGCACCATTTCAAATGAACAATGCAGGTTCTATAATAGAAAGACTAACTGATCCCCTCATATTATTGTGCCTAGAAGAATAGATTTGAACAGGAACTCTCATGAATGTCTTGTAACTAGTGTCTCACCATGGAAAGGCAGCTTCTCTGTTCCCGGATAACAGCGCAGCAGCCCAAGAAGCCAGTAACGACCACCAGGCTGCCAGCCAGGATTAAAATATACGCTGAAACAGCAAAAGTGCTGGAGGCCAACAGACTAAGGTAGTCACTCTTCTCCACCAGGGTCCACACTCCTACACCCAAGACTGCAGCTCCACCCACCTGCAAGTGCAAATAAAAAAACAGAAAAAAAAAACCCCACAATATAATCAGTGTTTCAAAAACGTGTTGCAAATAACCATCTAAAAAAAAGACCAGCATGATATAACAGCACTTTTGTAGAAAAGGAAGCGTGCCATTAGATGAGTCAGAGCATGGTGGAAAAGTACAAAACAGGCCGTAAATTAGGGCAGAGGGGAGAAAAGAGAGGAAACCTGAGGAGAAACATAGAAAAGTGGCACATAAAAAAAAAAAAAAAACGCCCACAGGAGCACAGAGACTCGGGAGAGTAAGGAAAGGGCATAATGACTACTTCCTTCCAAACAATCAGTGACTGACCCAGGGAGGTCCGAGATCTGTTTTTTTTACATCTCAGGAGGTTCACAGGCTGACAAATAGGAAATGCCTTAGAAAGCATTTCACCGTCGTCCTCCCTTCCTTTTTAGATCAAGACTTTCTTATTTACAGACGGTTATCGCAAGTTAAAGAAACATTATTGTGATAACGAACCCAGTCAGAAATAGCTTCATTTCAAGAAAAAAGTATATTAAAATTTTTGCAAACTACAAAAATTTGCTCAATCTTTTAAATGCTGTAAAAATCTATATTTGTTTGTCATTTTATTATAGTAGATTGTAAATAAATGGTGAAACTTTTTTTTACTTAAAGAAATCTGAAAAGTTCAGCATGTTTTTGTATTCATACCCCGCCTTATCATCTAAAGAAAAATGATTTTGCCACCATTAAAAGCTGCAGATTGTTTGCAATGCAAATTATTATAATTATTATTATTGCTCTATTATCTTTGCAAAACAGACAAGTTCATCCTGCAAAGGCTTTCTTCTTGCTACTTTCCCCCAGAGGTCAGGCTTGAGTGTTGCACAACTGTCCTGTCGGCAGATTTTTCTCAACTGAAAACCATGCGTCCTTTTCCTTCTACCTCACAATGATGCTCCAGTTCATGGTAATCTTTCACTTACATGCAAACCCCAAATAATCTAAATAATAACCTCACTTTTAGACTGACAATGTGTACACTTTTCAAAACTCTGTGTGGCTGTTCTGGAGCTGTACAACCTGTTCCGTTATAGAAAATGCAGCATAAGGAAAGCAGCATGATTTAGATATTTCCTACTGAAAGCGACTTACCCAAAAAAGAAAGTTAAACACAAAGAGCAGGTACTTGAGGCAAACTGTCAACCAGTCTTCCTCATCATCTTTATAAGCCACTGACATCTTCTTCGCTGTAGGTCGCTCCAGAGAACACAGACTTTATTCTTTCCTGTGGAAAAAAAAAAAGGAAACAAACAATGGGTGGAAAATTAGACATTTTGAAGTGTGGTTTTATGAATGGTTACATTTCTCCTAGAATAAACTTGTCACACATTGCAACTTGCTGCAGTAAATGTGGTCAGTTTGTGGTTTCTTCTGCACAAACATTTGAATTTGGATTTCAATGCTGATTTATGAGGTATTGTTTACATGATCTTTAGCACATTTGACATGTTAACATGTTTTGTGTTGAGAAACAAAAGAACAGCTTTGATTTGCTTTCCTCTTTCTACCAGTATTCCCATATCACAGAAGGTATCTGATGTATTTATGAGCTCCAAGTAAACCAAGGGTAAAAAATTATTTATTTTTTTTAATTTGCAGAATCATCTTTTCTTATGTCACAACATTCGTCCCTTCAATATTCATAGCACGGAATAAGCTGTATTCCTTTGAATGATTAATAGAGAAGAGTGTGTGGTCTTGAGTCTGTAAATAAAAGGTCAGGAAGTGGAAAGCACTTAGATCCATAAAACTGATCTATAGTGTTTCCTTCAAATCGACAGCAGGGGGGAAAAAAAGAAAAGAAAAACATTACATCCAACAAATTCTAAAACAAGGACTGGATCAGTCAATGGTACCTTTAAAATAGAAGGTGTTCATTCACTTTTTTTAGTTATTTATGATTTTTTTTTTTACTTATAATGTTTATTATATTGTGCTTCCACCACAAATTTCAATGCAGTTTAGAGTACACTTGTGTGCATCCATCACACAAATCTAAAGAAATTACAATGGTTGTGGTAATAATGCAAGTGGAAATCTTCAGAAACCTATTATTGGACCCAGATGATTTTTATACAAATACTTTTTACCAAGTTACAGTTAGGGGAAAATAACTAGACAAAAAATTGGTACGGTGGCCCTTTGCCAAGGAAGGTCCTGAGTTTGAATCTTAGTCCGTCTGCATGGAGTTTGCACGCGTGGCTTATCTCCAAGTGTTCAGGCTTCTGTGGTCCAAAAGCATAACTGTTGGGTCAATTGGTTATTAAGTATGAGTGTGTGTGTTTATGGTTGTTATGCGTCTCTTTGCCGTGTTATTTTCTGACCGAATTCTTAACTTGAGTAACTTTTGTAGTCATTCAAACTGTTACAATTCTGCTTACTTTTCAAATAACTATTTCATACTGTATCTTTATTTTTCTTAAAAGTTACAAAATGCATTTGTTGTTTTAAGGATTTCAATGTTTATCTTCATAACAAAGACATGTTTATTTTTTGCTACCTCTCTTTTACATTTTATTAGTTTGATTTTTTTCTCATGACTATTGTGCATTCTTGACTCTTTGTTTCAAGCACTTTGTGCTACATTTGCCTCAATACAAAGTGCTCTGTAAATAAAATCTGATTGATAAAATAAAAACAAATCTAATAAGTTATAGCATCATATCCTGAACGTTGCTTCTTTTTAAGCAAACAGCTTTCATCACAAGGCCTCCCAGTCAGTGCTCTGTTCAAGTCTTCTGCATTCAAACGCTTTGAACCCATTTTTTCCACGAAAGAAAAAAAGCCTTGCCCCCCTTCAGAACTTTGACCACCCTGTAGCGTCTATCGCCGTGATAAAAGGCGGAAACATTAAGAAAATATCCATTTTGTTTTACGGCACAGGACAAACTTTCTAAGGCGCTTCCCCGGACGCCGGACGTACGCAGTCGAGCATCCCGGAAAAAAATACACACCTGCGTTAGTGATACGCAGGATAAAGTTTAACAACGTTCCCACACACTTATGGAAAAGCACACGTCACGTTCTCGCAGCATGGACAATACTCACCGTTTTAGCGCTGGAAGAAGGGCTTCGGGTTCCTGCTGTTCCCTCCGGAGCTGAGAGGACACCGCTGCAGAGCGGTGGGCGTTTTGTCCGGTCAAGCTTGTTGCTTTCACGGTAGTGGTGCGTTCGAGTGCAGCTCGAATTTTTTAAAACTATATCCTTTAGACGGGCGAGACAGCAGCGGAGCCGACGCACATCCTACAAGGCAACATTTTTTCTATCTTTTTTTTTTTTTTGCTTTCAACAAAGAATAATGCATTTTTATTAAATGTGTTTACTTGTTTTGAGAACCACATGCGGTTAAATTTTTAATTCAAAACAAACGTGCTGTAATTAAAGTTCAAGATGTCCGATCCGTGATTCTCACCTCCTCCTATTCCACTCTTTGTTGCCAGTTTTTTAAAAGACTGTCTCCAACATTCGTTGACATAAAATTGAATAAAACCAAATTCGGAGTCACATAAAACTGACATACACACAGCTCAAATAATTGGAAGACTGGTCTGAGAATTGCATGCTGAAGAATCTAATGCAGGATGTCGGAGCCACCATGTTGAAGACAAGTGCTGGGCTTTTCCAGGGTCACTCTGTTGTCACTGGGAGAGGAAAAGAAATGAGTGAAGCAAATCTAATCATATGAATGTGCGTCCACAGTCCCCAGAGGATTGTTGTTGGTCTGATTTATCCACTTACAGTCCAGTTTTGACATGGACCTGGGGTCATTGTCCTGAAGGACCATCCAGTTTTGTCCAGGCTATTTTGAGGTAAATTCAAAGAATTTAAAGATACTACTTGTTTTTTGTTTTTCCATCCACTTTCTGCAAAGCACCAGTTCCACCTGCAGTGAAACAGACTCTGAGCATGATACAGCCACCATCTTACTTGACAGTCTGAACAATGCCAATGTGGTTATTATACTTTACACAGATGAAGCTGCAAGTTAACTATTTTTTGGTGAACTGGTGAAAACAGAGAGAAATTTCTTATACTTGTTTTTACCTTTATTGTGACTCAGATTTTTTTTAATACTGGCTGTGTTTGTAACTGAAACACAGCCAGACTGGCAATACTGTGCAAAATATATTTTTAAATGAGAAGATAAGGCAGAGCCATATAAAGCAATACTTAAGGACATAAAACTGAAAAAAATGCCTCTATATCAGCACCCGGATGATCAGATTATCTTTAACATAATAATCTTCGTTATAAGCAGACTTCCTCTTCTGCCAAAACAAGCTCCATGGTAAGAATGTTTTTGCCTCATCTTCCCAGAGAGTAACTCAATATGTAAACTGTTAGAAGTAAATGATGGCCAAAGGCATTTGTGGTTCCTTAGCTGGTGACAATCAGTCTGTCAAAACAACATTAGTCGGTTAGAATTGCAATCCATCAGGCTTAAATATTGTTTTCCCCTCAACAAAACCTAATTCACCCACAGTTAAAAAAAACAAACAAACAAGATTATTAAGGTTTATTGCTTTGAATTTGGAGCATGTTGGTTTTCAGTCTCCATAAATGTGACACAATGTAGCAGAGGGAGTTTCCACTGAGGCCAGCTCATTTCTATGAGCAGTCTGTTTCTGCAGGGGTTCGTTAATCACCTCAAGGGCTTTTCATATCTTGCTGATTCTCTTATTCCCTCTCCCGAAAAGCAGGAGAGTTAGAGATAGGGCATGACTGAGCATGCATGTAAAGCACAAAGTGGTTGAGATCAAAGCAAACATAACATCCTTCAATTTGAGCAGACAAAACTCTAAGACAAGTGAACATAGAACAGAAAATACAACACAAAATTAGGTTTATCTGTGGGATTTTTTTTGGGTGGGGGGTGTTGTCTTGACTACACCACATAAGAAACTGTTGCTGTTAAATTATTTTCTCTTCTTTGGTTTTACTCGCTTCTTGAAGCAGGGTTTGTTTTTAAAATTGTCCAGTTTGCTTAATGTTTTGCAGTGGCTGACCTCTTGTGGTCAAAATCTCCTGGAAGCAACAGAACATGTCAACCTGACCCAGTTAAAAATAGAGCCCCCCCTTTTTTTAAAGGGATTATCAAGGCAGTTATTTACGCAACACAATCCCAAAGACAAGAAATCCTCAACTGGGAAAACAGACAGCATAAAGAGTTTCTACTGTGCGTCCTCTTTGCTACTTTTAATTGACAGAAGAGGAAGAACCGATCCTGAATGAAAATCACAGAATTCCCCCGAGGCTGTTGAAAGTAAATTAGAAAAAGCATCTCTGTGAAAGCTTAGAGCAATGCTTCCATCTCAAAGCTCAGCAAAACATACTAAGTACCAAAGAAAGATGTGAACTAAAAGCAATCTGTGTATGGGAATTCGCTGTCAGCAGATGGAGCAGAGAAACATGGCACTGCACCAGACAATTTCTCAAAAGAAATGGGAGCTGAGATGAACCGATGCCAGATTTACCATCAGAACTCATAATTGATATTTTGGGAGATTGATTTTTAGGTGCTTTACAAGAGAAAATGTGCAAAATTTTTACCATCCTCCGAGAATGAAAGGGTTTCCACCATGGGGCCACCCGAATGGTTCCAACTGTGTCTTTAAAGACATATTGATCCAAAAATGCAAATCAGTTCTTTATCAAATGATATTATTTTATTTTAAAATTGTCTACATCTGTAAATACATTAAGTTAAATATGAAAAGGTCTAAAAATAATCCTTTTATCCAGTGGCCAGTTCCAACATCTTCTATTATGCGTGAGTGAGCTCACCATACTTTCAGTATTCGTTCTTAATGGTTTAAAATAAAGCCTGACAGATTATATCCACACTGCCTTTGTCATGTTAACAGCTTTATTAAGCTTGCAAACCAGTCAATAGTGGAGTGCCCACTGCTTTCACTCCTGTGTGCTCCTGCCTCCACACTGATTTGCGTGTGTGTGTGTGTATGTGCTGTGAGTGTGAATGTAACGCGTGGGCTGATGTTCTTAAGCTTTGCTGATAATGAGGCTCACCAATAAGTATGACTAAAACCTGGTTTGTGATATTGGGTCTTATCTTTCATTACCAGAATATATTTCAGGCAACATATCTTCTTTTTTGGGGTTTCTAACAGAATCTTTGAATGTTATGTTGAATGTGTGAGATGAACAGTGTGGATATAAAAACAAAACATATGTCTCTAAATCACTCTTATAAGTGCACGTGACCCTTCAGACAGTTTTTGTGATGTAAAGAAATAGACTACAAGAAAAGCTTGCAAAAATGTTTCAATTTCAGAGATGAATTGACCTGGTTACCTTGGTGTGTACATCCTAACAGCTAAAACTTTGTTAAAGCGCATTTTGATTTAGTTTCAACAGCATTTCTGACAGGGGTCTATCGGTATCTTGTTTTAACTAAAATAATTGATCAAAATGTTATTTTTTTTCACTACAAAAATCCTGAGCGATTAATAGGGAGGTGTACGCTTTTGAATGCCTTTGTGCTTTCAACAAAGCCTTCATTAGAATGTGGCTTTAAATGGTAAGAATTTAAAAACTTTCCCAAGGTATAAATGTTGTGCGAAAAGTTTAATAAAAGTGCCTCACTGAACCTTGTGTTTCATGGATGTCTCATAGGGCCACACAACCTGTGTAATGAGGTGGAAAATTGAATTAGAATGATTCAGTCAGTCGAACAGGAAGTCGATGGAAGTTGTAAGAGAATATGCTCTGCGATGCAGCGAAAGGAGGAATGTGACCTAAAACAGTGACAGTGTAAGGCAGAGGGGAAAAAAATAATTACAGTGAATCACACTGCTTGAAACAAACTCAAAGCCTGCTGCATTTGAAGTGAAAATGTGTTTTGACGGTGTACGTCTAAGTGTTGTTCCTGAAAGTCACCTAATGCAGCTTAACTGGAGGCAAAAAGTAGCACAAATATTTCAAATTTTAGCAGGAAGAGGATTTTTTTTAAGTATCAGAAAAATGCTTTCTTGCTTACAGATTAATAAACGCTTTGTGAGGCAGAGCTACGGTTGTTTATGTGGAGAACCATGTCATATTTCATACTAAAATGCCTGAGGACTGATTTCTTTAATGTTCCCTTTATTTTGTAATCTAAACAGCAGCATAATGTTTCCATAGGTGACATTCTTAGAACAGCTTTTATCAAATATATTAAATCACAATGTCATTATAGTTTCTGTCAAAATTTTTTTTCTTAGTCTGCATTATGCAAAATTACAACTATACCAACCCATTAAGTGCTGCAAAAAATATTTGCCCTTGTAAATACAGGCTTATTAAAAGATGAATTAAAAGAATAATGACATAAAGAGGAAAGAAATGACCTGAAAAGGATCCAACTCCCTTCACACCGAGGTAGTGAGACCCATATCCTTACTGGATTGTGACTGAAATTGTGACTCCCCAGAAATAAAAGTTGAAATTTAGGACCGGTTCACCCTTCTTGTGGAATTTTTGCAATTGTGTCGTAAAACTCTGTCAGTTTGCCCTAAAATTGTTCGATTAAACCATGGAAATTGACAATTTGCTCTTATTGTTTCACAATATTCTGTGCATTTTCAAAGGACCAATCTTTTGGAGTTTAGGAAGAATTGAAAATTGTGAATGTTTCTGTTTTTTATGCACTATAATATTTCTTTCATAGTTTTGTTATACATAGAGTTTAAAATTAGCAGCGAAATTAAGTCAACCACCTACTTTTCACACCTCCTCAAAAACAGGCTTGCTACTGTCCTTGCATGAATTCCTATTGTTCATACTCTCGGTCTGTGCTTGATCATAACAAAGGGTAGAAGTTTGTGTTTTTGTTGGGTCAGTAGAGAAAAAAATCACATATTTCTCACTGCCTGGAGAGTGTTAGAGAAGGCCTTGGTGGTAGCTGTTAGAACTAACCCAAACTGTCAGCACAAACAAAGCATTAATTACAAGAGCTAAAATGAGGGAGTTAGGGCATAACAATGATTATCTAAAATTAGAGAGAGGGAAGAAAAACAACCAGTTTAGGTTGACTTCCTGGCTTGCAGGCACTCCAGATTTGAGGTGAATTTAAAAACAAGCGGGGAAATAAACAAAGATTATTCTCACAAGGATAGTGGGAGAAAGAATAAGGCTGATCCATTTCAATGATAATGGAATTAAAAACACACTTCATATGTTACTGGTCAATATAGTGAGAAGACAGAAACCTCGCAAATCTCAGCACCCAAAAGCAGCAACGTCCAGGTAGCTTCGGGCAGGAGACATGGAACCGAACCGCCGTACCCGGCACCGCGGCCACATCCCACGAGCAAAGGCCGAGCCAGGAGCCCGGTCATCCTCCTGGCTCCCAACAGTGAGGAGAAGCACAGAAACAGAATCGTGTGAAATGTTGAAATGCTGCTGTGAATACAGATATCTGTTTACAAAGTGCATCAAAACTAGGGTTGCAATCAGGGCGCTCTAGACCCCGCTGGTTGCTATCAGCAGTCTACATAACCCCCCGCACCAGTTCAAGTCTGGTGTTTCAGTAACATCACTTTACACATTGTCTGTCACCTCTGGAAAAACATGTCAGTCAGTTTTGCTTAGCTGCTTTTGCTTTAAATTGTTATTTAATAAAGATAAAATCTTCGCTCCCCTAAATAAGCTTCCATGGACACACGCCTCTGTGTTCACAATACACACAGGAAACTGTTCTGTTGAGTAAGAAACTATTTTTTTTTTGTTCTCACTATATAGACACCAAGCCCTCCCACACTGAGTCCTCCCTCTTTCCTTCTTTATTTACACATTTTTAGGCTTATTTATCTAGTAAATGCCTTCGCTTATATTCTTAATGGCCAAAACAAAACTTTAGTCATGGGCTCTGCAATCCTGAAAACAGGTTATATAAGTAGTTATGTTTTGTACATTTGATGTAAATTTATTAACACTCAACATTTTTCTTAGCAGGGTTGAAGTCTTTTATTAGTAGGGTCAGTCATCTTGTGTCTTTTGTGATGTTATCAACACAAATACACTAAAAGCAGAATGCTATCCTCCATATTGACCAAAACTTGGTCACTTAGCTGTGATTTTATGGTCAGTATTATTTTTGTTGTGGGAATAATCTCACTGGGTACTATCTTTAATCTATCTTCAAATAAAAAAAAGAAAGCAAGGAAGCGACTCAGAGTCACAGAGACCGTTAGTTTTCAGTGCGTAGGAAGTCTGGCACCGTTTCTTGTTTGGCATCTTTTTTTTCTGTCTTTCTTGTCACATCGCGCTTCAAAGCGGTTTGAGGTTCCCCAGACGGATAAAACAGGACTTCCCTCTGCGAAAGAAGATGGGAACGGCGCGACTTTTGTGATAGGGGTCCCAGTTTCTTCTAGGCGCCGCAGACGTCGTCAGAAGGAGAGCGGGAGACGCTGAAGGAGTTTTGTTTCTGGGACGTTCCTGGATTTCAGGTTGCGGGGTGACACGCTGCATCTCGCGCCGAGCTATGATGATGATGATGATGAGTCTCCTGCTGGCATCAAACCTGCAACCTTCCAGTCGCAACACGGTGTCTCCAGCCAATAGACACAGAGTCCTCCCACACTGAGTCCTCCCTCTAAAACAACCTGTTTTCACGTTCACACTATGGACAAAAGAACATTTCACCACGCGCGAATTCGTCGTGTAACTTCCTAACTTTTGTGTCGATGGTGACAGGCTGACCCGACACGATTAGTGTCATGACTTTATTCGTCCTTAAAAGCCCGCGGTTTACATGTCCCGGGGCTTTTCGTCCTTTTTGACGCGTCTTTACCGCGATTTAAGCCACTTAAAAGAGTTTGAGCCTAAATCTCGCCGGCTCTCATGGGACTCAGGCATTCGTCGCGGTGTTTGCTGCTACGGCGGAAGATGGCGGAGGCGGACAGCTCGGAGGTAGGGGACCTTGTAGTGTCCTGTACCCGGCTTCTCTCATATTGCTCCTTTTTTATATAAATACATATATATACATGTAGTGACAACGTTTTTAGAATGATATGCATTTTTTAGTTTCGGCTTTCAGTGATGAGCGGCTACGTCACTGAGTCGGGGGTGTTGGATTTTTAAGTGTCCTGCAGATGTTGGCTGAGTCGGCAAGTGTATCCGCGGACTCGCGTAATAGCAGCGGGAGTGAACGATACGGCGTGTGGAGAATGTTTTTGCTTACAGGCGACCGTCCGGATGCATGTCCGCTGTCCTTGGTGCTGAAACGGAACCTGTGTCTTTTACGGAATTGCCCCAGCAGTGTGCAGGATCAGATCGCAGCCATTGCATTTCTGGCACTTTCATATATATAGGCTATATATGAAAAGTGCCATATATATGAATAAAATAATTAATTAATTAATTAATTAATTAATTAATTAATTAATTAATATATATATATATATATATATATATATATATATATATATATATATATATATATATATATATATACCCATGCATTTTAAAAGAGGGTTTAATGTGTACAACTGTCTGGATTTAGCACAGGTGGGACAAAATAATAGTATATAAGGAGTCAACACTGTGTACAATGAAAAAATGCTATAAAATTGATGTTGGCACGTTTTTTTTTTTTTTTTTTTAATTTCTGACTTCCCAGCTTGTATTCTGTTTCATTCATCCCTCGTATCGACTTCTTATCTCCCCCTGCAGTATAGTACAAAATGTTAGCAGAATAAATTATATATATATATATATATATATATATATATATATATATATATATATATATATATATATATATTGTACATAACAGTAAAAAAGAATACAATGATAGGCAAACCCAAACACAACGACCTACAGCTAAGCAAGATTGTTGTTTTAGTCTTTTTGTCCTTTTTGTTCCATTTTACTTTTGTCCTTGAGTTCTGTCAGGTGGGAAATTCCAATCCAGAGCAGCTTTAGGTTCTTCTACTATTCTGGCATTTTTTTGTGTGTGTGTCACTTTCAGTATAGTTAGTACATTTTCTGAGAGACATCCATATGCTGGGTTTATCTTAGTATAATGCACTGCAATGTACTTTTTCCACTGCAGAAACAGCCACAGTTGCTGCTGGAAAGGAATATTTTTGAAACCATTGACAAGCAATATTTGTCAAATTTTTATTCAACCAGGATTGGTCAAATGAATAAATAAAACTAAAACATCAGCTAAAATATTTGCCAGTGATGCAGGAGGAAAGCTCTAAGATAGCTGTCCACTGTCGGCCACCACTGCTACAGTTCATGGTGCTGAGTTTCCTTCATCATATCTATATCTTTACAGAACCTCTCTGCTCACTCTCTTGCTCCTGCAGCTGTCCCCTTGATCTATCTCATATCGAAATTCTGACAGAAACTTAACCAAGCTCATTTCATTCTATTTCTTTGCTCACAGCGACAACAGCCTGTCAGGTCCCCGCTTTCCCAGTCTGCACAGCCCTCCCCTCTGCCGAAACCAGTGCCTACAACCCATCATGTGCCCTGCATTCCTCACACGCCTCATGTAGCAGTGCTCGCCACCTGTCCTGGACGAGGCAAGATTGCCAAGTTCATAAGCCCAGAGGAAATGACATCAAGGGACTACTACTTTGACTCCTATGCCCACTTTGGCATCCACGAGGTACGCAGACCGAGCCGACAGCAGGAAGCACGGTGTGATTAGAGTAGAAGAATGACACCAGATGCTTCTTGTTAAACTTTGCCAACAAGTTTCATTGCTTAGAATTAAACTATCTGACAGCAGGATATGTAAAAAAAGGGGGAAAAAAAGCTTGTTATTTTAATACTTCTACTTCCATGAAAAGACAGGCTTTACTTCATGTCTTCCACAGAGTCTTGCAAAAAGTTTATTTCACTGGGACAAACATAAACCAGGGTATAATTGCAAAGTGGAGGGAAAGTGAAACATATTTGCATTTTTTTTTACAGATACAAATCTGAAAAGGGTGCAAGACCAACATTACCTTAAAACAATCATCCCTATCTGGAAGCAAGGTAGAGGCAGCGTCATCCTGTGGGAATGCAACAAATACTCCTGCAAGAGTTTAGATATTCTGTGTCTAGAAAACACAGAATAGAAAACAAACGCTGCATTTTGTCTGCAGAAAACTTCAAGTTTGGCAGTTACCAAATTATACTGGGAGTTCAAACTTAAATGATGGCTTTTATGATTTCTGCACTTCCTAATCTTATAATCCAAAACGTTATCTTAAATCAGTCTGAAATCTACAACAATGCACCTGTCCATCTACCAACTGCTGAGGTATATGCATTAACAGTGACATGAGGAAGAAAATGGAGGGCTGTTGAAATATCTGTCTAGATGGAGCATGTCTTGGTTCACAAAAGAAAGGGCTTTTTCATTATTAACTAGCACGAAAGACCCCCAGAGGCTGCATAATAGTCCATTATCAGCACTCCATAAGTGAAAACTATCTCTGCCTGTCTCTCACAATAATCTGCAGTGCACTACAGGGGAAGTAGCCTAACTAATGACCTTGATGTGTGAGGGAAATATGGTGAGAAAGTTTGGGGACATATAGACCCCACCTCCTTTTTTCTTTTTCTTAAATAGTGTCCTTATTTAGCATGTGGGTCAGCTTTTTCGTGTGGTTGCAGACAAAGAGTGTGTCCTGATTAAAAAGTTCAAAGCAAGATAGGAAAGAAAGTGGGATCTGTGAATGAGCTTAGGGAGATAGCATCAGGCAGCCCCCAAAGGCTTTGTGTAGTACTCCTGTCTATTTCAAGATGCCATGACTGTCACCAAGGCTTCTGGCCTGGATTCTGTTTGTCTGTCTCCACACACAGAAGCAAATAATGTGCTTACATGCAAACCTATGTCTGTATTTGTAAAAATCAAGCTACTCCTTAAGCGTGTCATTGGTTCGGTGTTGTAAAGACGGTGCTTGGGTCACATATGTTGATATTATCTCCAACACAGGAGATGCTGAAAGACGAGGTGCGGACACTGACCTACCGCAACGCCATGTACCACAACAAACATGTGTTCAAGGACAAGATCGTCCTGGATGTTGGCAGCGGCACAGGGATCCTCTCTATGTTTGCTGCTAATGCCGGTGCCAAACACGTGTACGGGGTGAGGCGAATAGATCCACCTACAGTCCACAAACAGATGCTGCAATCCAACACTTTCTGTGTTTTTGGTAAATCCAAACTGTTATTGGCCATGATTCAAAGTTCAGTCGTCTACATTACTATATAGACCCCCATACTGTACTACATTAGAAGTATACACAAGAATACTGCATACATTGTATTTGTTCAATTGCAGTTATTTAAATTAAGCTTTTTATTCACATTTATCAAATTTATTTGTGTAGCACAAGTCAGTCAAGAACTGATCTAGTGAACAAGCTGCCTTTAATTGTTCCACATTGAGCCATGCAGTGCTCAATATGATTTTCAAAGCTTGGTTTTATAACTTAACCAAGTTCTAAACATTTCTACGACTTCATCACTGACCTGTCTGCTGTGTTCCTTGGCCTTCACAATGCTTTTAGTTCAGAGTACCAACAGGTAGATGTTATTTAGCAAATATGTAACTTCTGGAGAACTGAGCTGTTTTTAATTTTGGGTTATCAAAAGTGAAAGGTCATGTGGGATCCCATTTAATTCTGTAATGAAAAAATGGGAAAAAAAGGCAGCACTATATCTGTGAGACGCTTTAGACGTATTTGCAAAAACAATTGGAAAACAAAAAACACCAGCTTTAGAGAAAATAAACTTAATATTGCAACGTTAATGTAAGAGTTTTCCAAAGGATTGCTTTGCTGTTTTGAGAGTGAATCTTTCCTAATACGGAGCACTGAATAAATGATCGCAGATGTTTATTCTGAAGGGATTCTATCCGAGGCAGACGGTTAGGTGCATTTTGTCAGAGGCTGCAGGTTTGATTTATAAACTTCATTACACTTAATGATGGTTACGTCTTGTAACAGACAGAATATTAGTTTTTAGATGGATTAGAGGAGTTTGATTAAATTCTCGCTTTCAGTATTACCGCAAGAGGTACATGTAAGCTTCACTGTGCTGCTCTGACGTGAAGAAATGTGGCATCCTTCCTGGTGTTCTTATGGATGGATGCTGCCCAAATAAGAAGCAAGAACCATCCATATAAATGACAAATTATTAATGTAATTTAGCACACTTCAAACAAATCTGTGGGGACTTGCTATATTAAACCATTTTATAATTTTTTTCTCCAGATTACAGTCACAAGCTTCAGTGTATTTTCTAGAAGTTTTAAGTGTCAAACACAATATGGTAAAAAACAAAACAAAACTGTCTTTTTTTTTTTTACTAAAAAAGAAAATGGAAGAGTTCTTTGCCTCTTTATATTGAGATCCCTTTAATCAGGTACCCTGCAAATAGTCTGCAGAAGTGATCTGATAGACACAATTTGTATTTGTCTAAATTGGTATGAAAACGAACATGTTTCTTCGATTTTGTATCAATTTATACTTTATCAATCACTTCAAATTTGAGTAAATAAACTGAAATTTGTGGTTGCAATGTCTACAGAATGCGACGACGCTAGAGGGGTTCTGCAGAGAGCTTGGCGTCTCCCACTTGTGCATGTCTCATTAAAATATATACCCACGCATTGTGTAAACACTTCAAGAAACATTTGACAGCTTCCAGAACAGACTGTTATTTTATGCCCGGTGTGTGATCTCGCACTTGTTCCTGCAGATCGAATGCTCAAGCATATCTGAATATTCAGAGAAGATTATCAAGTCCAATCACCTACACAACGGTGAGTCAAAGGTGATTTTCCATTTTCCAGTGCTTAGATACCCATCTGTTTGGACTGCGGGACTGTGCAATGGCATTGGGGTTAGAAGGAGCGTGGAAAATCGTTTGCATAGTTCCATCATTGTGGTCACGCTCGACAGTATTAGTCACTGCTCTTGATGGTTAACTGGCAGTTTGTTTCCACTGTCAAATAATCATGGTCCTTGGCATCAATCTTGGCTCCCTCAGAGGGGTTTATTTCCATTGTTAGCCCACCCTGTGCAGCGCAGATGGTGGAATGGCAGCATAAAGTGCAGTTTAGCACCTGAAATACTATGCAAAATTCAGTTGTTACTATTTAATTGTAACATGTCAACTATTTTGCTTGTAAGATAAGGATATCATTTTTTAAAAATCTGAGAAAAACAGTACCAACTCCTCTATTGCTATTGTATTATAATAAAAATTTAAAGAAGGAAAAATATATGCATATGGTTTTATAAATATGTAACGCAGGAATCAAAGGCATGAGAAAACAAGACGTTAAAACTATTTTACCCCAGGCTACAAACTCAGCACGAATCTCTCTTAATTTGCATTACAGGAAGGAAGAAATTTGGAAGTAATTTGTCTCCTGCTGCCTTGTTTCTGTTCACCGTACAGTCATTACCATCTTCAAGGGCAAGGTGGAGGAGGTGGAGCTCCCCGTGGAGAAGGTGGACATCATCGTCTCCGAGTGGATGGGTTACTGTCTCTTCTACGAGTCCATGCTCAACACCGTCATTTTCGCCAGGGACAAGTGGCTGGTAAGACCGCAATCATGGCGTTGCTTGACGCAAGGCTTTCCATGTTCGCCCGCCCGAATGGACAAATGAGGCCGTTGACACATAAAGAGACGAGGCAGTGATGAAGTAGAGGGCTTACTGTGTGACGTGCATGCCCAGCTGCTGAGGTTATGCGTGAATGGTTTTGTTGCTGGCCTCGGTAACAGCTGGAGGCCTTTAAAGCCAGCACATGTGATCCTAGATTACATGCCAGGTGTGCGAACAATGAAAATGATGGATGGCTTTTTGTGTTTCTTCTCTGGATACCTGAAGTCTGTCTTTTGTGCAGAAGCCCGGAGGCCTGATGTTCCCAGACCGAGCAGCTCTCTATGTGGTGGCCATTGAAGACAGGCAGTATAAGGATTTCAAGATTCATTGTAAGTAATTATTTAGCCATCTGATAGCTGTATGGTTAATTCTTCCCATTGCTTTGCAAATGGGAATAACTGTGGTGTAAATTTAAGGTAACATATTGTCTCCTTTTAAAAATATAAACACACATTCATGACAAAAGATAAAACCTAAAAATAAACAAAATAGAAAACCATGTTAATTAGTATTTGAATCAGTTGAAGTGGTTTTCATTTGTCTTTGTTGCATGAATAACTTCTAATATTACATGGCATTCATGTTCTAATCCACATTTAAAAGATTTGCTGTCAAGTGTGAACAGGTCCCAGGGTGTGCAGTAATTAGCGAGGCTCAGTGTAGCGAGTACATTTTTATTTTAGTCATTGGTGGAGTGTTTCACAGTGAAACTATGAGAAAATACGATGTTGGAGCTCCAGGTTAACTTGTCCCTTTATTATTTCCTACCTCTACTGTTTGTGTTGAAGTATCACTCCTTCCTAATATAGTTCTGCACCCCTGTCTCTTTTCTTCTGCTTTTCTTTTTTTTAAATGAGTCAGTCAAAAATTGTCATGTTTCATATGTACCCAGTAATTAAGGAACTACATTTACTTACTTTTATAGTAGTTTCCACAGACGAAAACAAAGTGCTTTACAGTAAATTTCATAGAACATAAAAAAACAGAGCACAGAACAAACAATCTAAAACAAAGTTTTAACACAAAGATTGAAGATTATGACCACTGAAATTACCCACAAAGTACATTTCCAAAGTGTGCATTAAACTTGGACTTAAAACTGAACAGATCTGACCTAAACTAGCTGCCAAATTCTGAACCGATTGTAAGTGGTGAGGAACGATTTGATTGAGTGATGAAAACAAGGCGTTGCAGTAATCAATATGGAATCAAATTAAAGAGGAATAAGAATCTTCATATCTGCAGCAAAGAGCAAGGAGGCACCTTCACAACTCAAACTCAACTAGAACAGAATTTTTTTTTTTTTCAGCGTGACTGAAATTAGGTCCCATGTTTTTATGTAGCAAATAATTGCAAAGGTGTCTATTCAGAACAGATCGCCTGAGGTTCTATGGAGCAAAACAAGGCCACTGTGAGGATTACAGAGGACAAAGTACTTTCACCTAGAAACATAGGGTTTCAGTCCCATAAGAAGTGTCCTGTTTTTAGCGTCCACTATGCTACGAGTGTGTAGGAAGCTGTCAAGGACATAGAAAATAATAGAGGACAGCCACATTTCTCACATGAACAGGTGATGAACCCCATTTACACAAATAAAGAGCCAAAAAGTTATTAAATCCAAACTTCCCTGATTCCCAAACCCTCTTCATATTCTGAGAAACTGGGTGTTGAGGTTTCATTAACCGTAAGCCATTAACAGAAGTAAACATTTAAAATATATAATTTCCACCGAATGAGTTGTATATTGAATTATATTGTTGAAATGAACAAAGATATTGATTGCATTTGCAAATTTATGCTACCTGGGGTTAGCTAAAAGAAGAAATCCTGTTGTGGATTAGTCCTCAGTTTCCCACAGAGCGCCCACTTCTGAATGTGCTCAAATAGCTGCCGCAGTCAGAGGTCCAGGCTTAAACCTGTGGTCAAGATCAAAGCGCTAATTTTAAAAGGTGCCACGCAGTCTAGCATCGACACTGAATAACTCCTACTGAGTTTTCCATCCGCCGCACAGGTGGCCCACTTTTATTACATCTAAAAACATCAAAATTGAGGTGCATTCGTTTCACACAAATCCCAAAAGAATTGAGACCATCTGAAAGCTTCAGATTTTTATTTTTAGTAGCTACGCGTTGGTGTTGCGTGTCTCAGCCACACGTTCTCAGTGTCTGGCCTCCTGACAAAATAAGGTGGAGTGGAGGGACAGAGGGACTGGGGGAGGGAAAGGTTGTTTGGTGGATTTTCAGTCCAAATCATAATAAAAACAAGGCTGCCAGACATACTGGAGGAGGTTGGAACTTATTTTAATTATGTTTTTTATTATTATTATTATTATTTCTTCACTCTGAGCTTAGATAGACGGAAAAGCTGAAGGCTTTGAGCAGGAACCAGTAGAACTAAGCATGCATTGAACGTGCAAAATAAATAAAGTGCATCCTGTGGAAATGTTTGCAAGAAATGCGAGGGGATTTTTTCTGTGCAGGGTGGGAAAACGTATATGGGTTCGACATGAGCTGCATTCGCAACGTGGCCATCAAAGAACCTCTGGTGGATGTGGTTGATCCAAAGCAGGTGGTGACTAACGCCTGTCTCATAAAGGTAGGTATGTCTATGCAGCGCTTCCGAGAAAAAGAGTTGTTGGGCATATTTTTGAGTCACATTCTGTCACACGTTGACAAATGTATAAAATAAACAACACGCACACACAAAAACAACTATCATTCTGGCACACATCCAGGTGGTATCTTTTATGTGCTCAAATTCTGGAAATTCACCGACAGATATCACTTCCAGCATCTCTGAGCGCTTGCCGTCTGCTGGGGCTATTTTCTAGTACATAATGGAGCTTTCTGGCAAGTTGTAATAGACTGCTGGTCTGTTTCTTTCCTCCAGGATACAACACTGACTTGTCTTTCATCTCCCAAATGAAGAGAAGATGAGAGCATTCAGAGAGATTGATAGTTTTTTTTGTTGTTTGTCCACTATAGCTTCTATCAAAGCTTCCTCTTTTATTGCCTTCTTTCATCTGCTTTGCACCATCTTTTTTTTTCTTCGATTTGGATTATCCAGTGCTTTTGTTTTCTGAGCCTCTTGCTTTCCAGTTCCTCCTCCAACATTGTGTAGTTTTTTTTGAAAAAAAAAACTTTTTTCAATCTTTGAATTAAACAGCGTCAGAACTCACAAGCGAATGGGAAGACCTTCCTCCATTTCTCCCCTTGTATGATGATGAAACATCACATTCAGTGGCAGTCACTTGAATTTGGTTTAAAAAGGCGATTCACCTGCTCGGTTCGAGTCTTGGTTGCCTATTAGTTAGTAAGAGCTCATCTGACAATGATCTCTCCCTGTGACTTCTTACACTGCCTTGCAAAAGTAAGTTCACTTCATAACCACACAATTCTCAACAATTAAATAAAACTCAGGTTACAAATCAACATGAGGTGAAAAGAAAATGGGAATGAAAGCAATTTCAGAAGGAAAACCTGAAGAAATGCTCTTTAAAGGGTTAGGATTATACATTATTTTGCAAAAAGTGGCTGGCATTTTAATTGTAAAGGTTATAGAGCAAAATGGGGTCCACAAAGTTTTGAGTCCAAGGATGGAGAGGGAGAAAAATACAGCATATGCACCCACTTTCCAGATATTTCCTTGTCAACGATTTTGAAAACCACTTCTGCTTCACAATTACGCACCGGTTTGAGTTGGCTCACCACTTTTGTTCCCAATTAAATAGCCGAAATGTGCCGTTTAACATGACAAAAATGCGGAGAAGCTAAAGTGGTATGAATACTTTTGCAGAGCCCTGTACGTGTAAATTCAGAACTCAGCCGCATATCTCCCCCATCTCCCACTATCCTAATTTGTGCTGTCAGTCATTCTTCACAGGCTTAAATTACAAAGTCACTCCCATGGCTTTTTTTTTTCTCACCTCCCCCATTTTACTGCATAAGATATGGACCTGGTATTACTGGAGAGGACAAAGGTGTTAAATCACAATCTGTCATGCTGATGTAAAGCTGCTTGGGCGGAATGAACAGGTCCCAGTGTAAAAATCCTTCCGTGTACTTTCATGTGAACCACCTTCTGCGACGCAAAGGAGGGACGTCACTGCTCTTCCTCTATTTCAGACCCGCTGAGATGTGCAGCAGGTTGCAGAGAAGTCAAAGATGCCTCTGAGGCAACGCATCCACAACTTGATATAACACACAGCCTCAGAAAACCTCCCATCCAAGAGGACTCAAGGGAGGACGCCCACACAGCATGTGTAGTGTGAACATGCTTGATTATCCAGCCGTGATTCAACCTGTGGGCTTTCGCGCACACAAATTCGCACATGAACCAAAAATCGTGGCGAATATCGAATCAGCTCTGGCATGTACATGCGCTGCATGTACATGTAGATGTTTGTGCCCCACTGCTCCAGCATCAACCGAATCGTTCCAAAATGACGGGGACAGACGTCTCTGTGGCAGATTTTAATACGGCGAGTTTGTTTTTTGTGTGTTTTCAAGGAGGTGGACATCTACACTGTGAAGCCAGAGGACCTGTCCTTCACCTCGGCTTTCTGTCTGCAGATCCAGCGCAACGATTACGTTCACGCTTTGGTCACGTATTTCAACATGGAGTTCACCAAATGTCACAAAAAGACAGGCTTCTCCACCGGTGAGACTGGAACCCCCTCATTCTAATATACATTTCTTTTTATGAACATGAAGTCTTTACGTGTCAAATATTCTATAAAATTAAATTAACCCACTGATTTTATGGAGCAATATCTATAAATCGAGTAAAAATTTTGATTATTTGAACACATTTAAGTAATTTTTTAAAATTATTTAATACATGTTCTGCAGTTTAGGTCCATCTTACACTAACTGTGGAAGCTAAAATTATGCGAGAAACAAATATTTCACCATTAATTCAACTATTAGTTTATTTGAACAAAAACTGCATATTTTTATTTTTTGGATTGTTTTTTTCTCATCAGAGAATTAAACATTTTTAGTGTGAGATTATGCTGCAAAATAAAAATAAATGTAACACATCCTTAACATTCGGTGAATACATTTAATTGCCAAATATCAATTGATTTTTTTTTTTTATCAAAAACTGAATATGAAGATACAAGGGCATTTAAGTATCATTAGCTGAATTACACCAACAAGTTCCTCCACTTCACCAGACCTCCTGTAAAAGTAACACTAAGGGAACTCGCATCATCTTCCAAACACGTGCTGATTACAGAAACCCCTGGTTTTCAGTTTTATGCGCACTCCTACATGATGACGACGTCTTTAGCAGGTTTCAACAGAAATCATCTACCTGTTACTTTCACATTCTGAACCAAGCAGCAGCATTTTCGCTAATTGCTTCACCTTCTCTACTCCTGGCCACACTCTGCTGAAGTTACACAAATCAAACTTGTGTTTGTTGCCAGTGGAATCACCACTCAACTCTACGTAAGCGGTTATGTAAGCCTATTTTAATATATTCACGTAGCAGTTGCTTACATAATATGGTGTAGAGGAGGTTCTATGTTTGGCTGTGTCTGTTGGGGCTGAGGCAGAGCATCACTGAAGGACTTCTCTCCTCTCCACCTTTATATTTCTCCCACTGGGTGAGTGAATGTCAGCCTGTATGCTTTCAAAAAACACAAATCCCATGTATACAAGCCCAAGGCAGTTTAGAGTTCTCCGGAATCGGTGTGCAATTTCTTCTTCCCTTAAGACAATATCCCCTCTCTGTCTTCCTTGCCTTCTTTCAATAACTTAACCAGTCAAATATCTTTCCCCTGTTTTCTTTTCTCATTTAATTGTTTTTTTTCTGAGTTACATTTTTCCTTTTCTTCCTCAGCTCCAGATGCTCCCAGCACACACTGGAAGCAGACTGTGTTTTATTTAGAGGACTACTTAACTGTCAAGAAAGGAGAAGAGATCTTTGGCAGTATCACCGTTAGACCCAATGAGAAGAACGTGGTAAGACTAAAAAGTGCTGATATTATTGAGATCCTTGTAGAACACAACAAAAATGTACATACAATTATATAAAACTTATTTGTGGAGTAGAAGAACTTGATGTCCTTGCTTTTCACCTCTAGAGATATAATATTTCTTAGCTCAAGCTCAGTCACATGGGATTAAAGATCTAAATCAAACAATTTCGGAAGAGATTCTTATTTGTATTTATGTCTGGACTTTGATTGGGCCCTTCTAAAGCTCTGACATTTCACAATGGGTGGACTTTAAAAAGGTTTTCTTTAAGCTTTACCCATCTTGTCAACTCTGAGCAGATTTTTTTATCTCATGAAAGCACACTCATATTATGATAATTGGAAAAGAATATATATTCAAGGCTAATGTATTCTTTCAATTAATGGCTTGTATAATTTCATGTTATGTTAATTGAAAAATGAATAAGTTTAGATGTCATTTAGCTCATTGTATTTGAGTCAGCTTCTATGCTTTTACTTATGTGTGGGAGTTTTGCTTTATCTTCAAGTAATTTCACTTTACATTTTTTGCAGCGTGACCTGGAGTTCACCCTTGAGCTAGATTTTAAAGGACAACTATGTGAAGCTGCCATTTCTCACGACTATAAAATGCGCTAGCAGCAAGCAAAGGCACCGGCGCAGGTCCGCCTGGAGACCCCCCTGGACACAACTGGAGGACAAAGGCTGTCCAGGAAGCGGTCCAGCTGATAAGGGTGGGGAGCAAATGGGTGTCTTACTGGATAGCGTCCAGTCTGCATCGAAGTGAAGCCATCAGAACGAGCGTAGAACCTTCTCTCAGCAATAGCGTCGTCACAGATAGCTCCCGGTCAGAAGTTTACATATGGCCATTATGGATACAAATCATTCGTTTGAATAATCTAAAATATCTGGGTCTATGCAAGAAAAACAGCAAATAAAAGCTGGGTCTACTCTTTCCTGAGAAAATTGTTTAAATATTCAGACAAAATGATGCCACAAGTTTGTCGATGTTTACAATAATGTTGTTGTTGTTTCTCTGCGACTTGTGATGACATACAGTATGTATCCAAATGCTGGATATGTATTTAAACATATAATTTTATTGTATTTGATTGTATAAGTTTGACCCAGAGTGGATTACCGGTAAGCAAAATCCACGCTAAACTTGTGGACCACGTTTTTATTGTTTAAAAATGACAAACATTTTGCTATAGCTGTCAGCAACACAAATTGTACGAGGATCAGTTCACATAATTTGTTAAAAGCACCAAATGAAAATGGCATTAATCCGAAAGACAAGCATATGTAAACTTCTGACAGGAATTGTAAAAATGACTGCAACCCCATCGTTGAATGTAACACCATACAAAAATGTGACTTTTTCCTAATTCTTGAGATTTCTTGATTTTTATTATTTTTTTTAATCTGACAAAACGCTTTGGAATGATTATTTACTGTGTGAAAATTGGAAACGTCAAACGTGATTTTAGAATCTAACAGAATCTCTTAGATTCTGTTAAGAGTCTCTCAGTTTACTGATCACATCTGTGGTTTCAGATAATAATAAAAGCAAATGTTTAAATTAAGATTAATGGATTGTAACAATGACTGGGAAATTATGTACTTATTGGTCCATTATTCTCAAGTCAACATCACCACATATTTTGTTAATTAAAAACTAACATGAAACATTTACATTTCATTTCAATTTGACAAAATGTCAAATTGAACGCAAGACTAAAACCGAAAAAAAATAAGTAAAATACAGAAATGTACCTTTTTTTAATGATTATTATTTTTAAATATCATAACCATAGGTGTGATTTGTAAACTCGGAGACTGGATTTGCAGGGGCTCCACAGTCAGGCTCCGTTGTTGCGTTGTATTGAAAGTAAGGTGAGTCATCATTCCCTGTTTGCATCATGTGGTTTTTGGGTTTTGGAGTGACGGGTGGCGGGGGGTAGGGAGTGGGCGTTGGGTATCAATTCCAGAAAATGTTGCTTCATGTATTTCTTTTATTGACGCCAACCCAGAACAAAATGTGTTTAGGCTTCAGAAAAACGTCCAAAAAAACAAAGAAAATGTCTTAGGTCATTATTTTGAAAATGAGAAGATCTACGAAAATTGAAAAGACACAAAGTGTGACAATGAATAAAATGTGAAATAACCGTGTGCAGTTTCTCTTTCCGTTTTCTCCCACTATTTTTCTTTTCCAGCAGAAGACGCATCAAAAACAGAACATGCCTGGAGAACCTCATTAATAAACGTTTTCAGAGTGATTTTTCTTTTGTAAAAATCACACATTTGACCAACTAATTAACAATTAAACACTTTCTAAATCTTACACATTACACTATTGTGATTAACAAAGTATTATTAACATTAAGGTAGACAACACTCTTGGAGCTTCAGCTATTCACCAGTTTCTTCAAGAAATACAGTTCTTCACACATATATTTATGCATTTTTTTTCCCCACTGAAATAAAAATAGTTTTTTGAAAGAAACCCTTTTAAAGTGAGGTCTCTACAGCAGTTCAACATCCAATTTATGCACTCTCTTTTTTGGGGGCTTTTGTGCAACTGTCAGAAACTGATGTAGGACTCTGTAAATTGCTGCCGTCAGAAATTCAATCTGTCCTTGTTTTTGCAAGGATGGGTGTCTTCACTTGCAGCAGGCTTTCTTCTTAATGGGCTGAGCACTGAGGCTGACTGTTGTGTCTCTTACCGTGTCCTCCTGCTCCATTAAAATCCTAAAATCACAGAGCAGGAAGAGAGAATGAGTCAACAGTGCCAGCACCATCAGTCATATCACCTGTGGTGAAAACTGGAACACATAATGCATTTTTTTAAAATCATTCTGGATTCATAACTAAGGTGTTTCAAAGTTACTATCTTACCTGGCCAGGTGAGTCAGGGACTCGGTCACATTTTTGCCGGTGTAAGCGCTGACCTCAAAGAACATCACCTTGTTTTCCTAATGAAGACGGGCAAAGAAAAGATGTTAAAACATGTGACATGCATCTCTTTTTTCACATAGAAAAAAAAAGGAATTTCATTACACTAAAAGAAGAAGCAAGAAAATGTATTATACTGGACGCATGGAAACTTACAAAAGCTAGTTGCTCTGCATCTTTAAAAGACACCTCCCTCTCTCTTGTCATGTCCATTTTGTTGCCCAGCAGGAGAATGGGTATCCCCTCACCTGCTGCTTCCTGGGAAAATAAAAGGCAGTGAAGAACACTGAACTAGCTTAGCATTGTATTTCAGTGAGATGGATTAGATTTAGCAGAGTAAATACAGTAAATCATATGTTCTAAACGTCAATGAGAAATAGAACGAGAAAAAACTGAAGCAAATTGGAATAACCAGTTGCATAAAGTTTTTGAGGTTAAATTTCCAACCTGGACATTCAGAAGCCAGGGTTTGACAGCTGTGAAGCTCCCCGCTACTGTGACATCATACATTAACACCACACCATCAGCCTTGCGAAAGAACTGCTTGGTCATGCTGCAGAACCTGTGTAAGGGTTGGAACAAATTAGGTAGAATATAAAACACTCCACTTGACATTTACATCAAAAATGATTTTCTTGGGAATGCAGCCATTCATTAATGGCATTAATAGTGCATAAGTTAATTCGCTGATGATTTTAGTGTCTATGACAGATCTTAGAATACTTTTGCATCTCAAAATGAACTCACCTCTCCTGACCTGCAGTATCCCAAAGCTGCATAGCTATTTGCATATTGTCCAGTGTTAATGTCTTCACGCTGTAGTCAATACCTAGTGAGAAAAAGGGTTAGCATGTATTTCATATTAATATATTACACTGATGTACCAGTTACATAACAGAGAACACAGTGCTGGCAGGAAAGCAGTAAAATACATTCACCTCTTATTGCAGCAGCTTAATCTCATACTGAAAATCTTCAGTAAAATGCTATTTTTGTTATACTCCAATTATTTTAGAGAAAGAAAAAAGTCATACTAAGATTGTTTTTTTTTACCACCTGGAAAAAAATATTGATTATCTTGCTGTATTTCTCATAGCTCCCTTTTGATAACAGGTCAGAATTTTGTTTTACTTATAATGAAAGAAAGTAAGAAATATCTGCTTTCCTATGCATTTATCTTTTGTTTACCATTAGATCAATGTCTGATCTGATAACAGTAAATGAAAAAACAACCGTTTAGCATTTAGATGTGCTTATTTTAGAATTTCTCATCACCTATAAAAAGTATTTTTTAAAAGGCTACGATTACCTCTACCTAAAGGACTGTTTGCGATACTGACAGCTGAGTCACCAGTGAGCTTGTTAAAAAAAAGGTAAATGAAATCATTTGTATGTGTATATGATTAATTGAATGTAGTGTAAATTACTTTGGAGTCCTCAGACTTGAAAAAGCACGATGCAAATGCAGGAAATGTACAGCATGGAGTTATTTTGTGGTTTTTAACACATCTCCACAAGGGATGCTAAGAAATGTGGGCAGGATTTTATATGCTCTGATTTACAAAAGATTGTTATCAAGAACGGCCACTAGAGGACCTTCGAGTGACTTGTACCAGAGAAAAGAGAGGAAATGAGGATAATTGAGTGTGAAAAATGAAAGCAGGCTTAAAAAAATCACAAGGAGTCACTTAATCTCCTGTACAATGTGAGTCGGGGCTCTAAGACAGGCAGTGTGACTTCATAAGCCCTTCCATGTGATACTTATTCACCCTCAGATCTTCTTTGTTAACAACTATAAACATACAACCCCTGTTTGTTTCATGGTTGCAGCATTAATGTCTTTCTTCTCACCCACAGTAGCAGTTGTGGACGGGTGAAAACGGCCCTCACAAAAGGAGCGCAGCAAGGACGTCTTGCCTACGCTGGAGTTTCCAACCAGGACGACCTTGAACAGACGGTCCGGGGCAAACACGGCCCTTACCTTTGCTTTCTGGGGATAATAAAATGTGTTTGTTTCGCAAACTAAAACCGCTGCAACTTATAATGAAACAGAAGCAGTAAACTCACTGGTTTGGCGTCCCTCCCAACAGGCTGGCGTCTTGGAGACACTGGAGTCTTCTTCACTTGGGATTCTTTAGTAGAAGAAGCTTCAGTAGGAATAGTGATGTGTCTTGAGAAACAGGTTGTACTGAGAACAGTACCCGTGACGGCACTAGTTTCAGCCTCGCTATGAGTTTCCTCTTCATAATCATCTTCTTCCTCCCTGAGCTGGTGCAGTAATGGTTGGGGTTCACCTTGAAGAAGGTGCAGCAGGTGGTCTTCCTCGATCGAGATGACCCTGCGAAGCGGCCAGCCATCTGTTGGCTCACCCAACATGTCCTCCTCCTCTCCACTCATCTTTCTCTCAGGCTCCCCTCTGTTGGAGCCCTCTCGGGTTTTCACCATCACTTTCCTGTTAGCAGCATTTTTAGCGGATGTCCTTCTTGGCTTTGGCTTCACATCTTGTTCTCTGGGTGGGCTGACGTTACCATTGGCTAAGGTTGAGATTTTCTTCGCAGCAGGTCGCTGCTGACGTGCAGTGGCAGCCGTGGCGGCAGAAGCCGCGGGAGCATCATCTTCACTGCAGGAGGAGGAAGCAACAAACACGATTTGAAGGTGCTCTATGGGCAAGGCCTCCAGAGACTGGAAGGACACTTCCATCAGCACAGGGTCTCTTTAGGAACAGAGGAGAAACAGAGGTTAAAAGAAAAATAATTTAATATGCAGATGACTGTCATGGATATCTGCAGAATGCTTCTGAGCTGCATATTGAATTATTTTTCTTTTAATCTAAACTGACATGTTAATTTGTCCTTCAAATCAGTTTTCCTCACTGTGAAGAGCCTCTCCAAACGATGCATAACCTCCCTATGTTTCATATCATAATCACAAACTTCAGTCTTTTTATTGTTTTGGTGACAGAACAACACAAATTCATGGATCAATTTGAAGGAGAAGAAAAGTTACATCTAGTGTTACATTACATTATAAGTAATTTATAAGAATTATATATAATTCTTATACATAAGAATTATGCTGGATTTCATTTAGGGGAGTCGCAGTAAAAGTGACTGAATGAAACTGTTTGAAATATTTCTCACAATTGAAAAATGTGTAAAATGTACTTCGCCATGGTTTCCCACTTATAACTCAAGTAATGGACATTCAGGTTTGTACATGTAATGTAATAAAATGTGAAAAAGTTTCACATTTTGCAAGGTCTATAAGACTTTTTCACATTACAAAATTCTGTATATTCTTAGCATAGAAAACTATCCCAAAAGACTAAGTTTTCTCACAGTAGTAATATGATGACAAATGGATTACCCTTTTGCTGGTTGACTTTCGTCATCAAATAAGTCAGCAAGGCCCTCCATCTGCTTCTGCTTTTTTCTGAGTGAGGTGCGAGGCTTTTTTTTTTTTTTAATAAACACAACAGGTTACGTAAATTTATCTTCAATCAGTCTGGTTATGCAAATATATTTTTAAAGAAGAACTTACAACAGCGCAGAATATGTCTCGCTCATCCTTTAAGTGTTTGTTCATCTCTCTGGAAGGAACATGGCATTTGTTCAAGTGGCTTTCATCTAGTTAAGCCTCAGACATTTAAAGGAAAGAGATCAATAAGTTGCTTGGGAAATTGCTGGTCTCACCTGAGGAGGTCAAGCTGCTTCATGAGACACTGTTTCTCCCTCTGGAGGCCCTCGGTTATTCTATACATTTCCCTTAAATAGGACGAACAACACCACAGATTTCTCAGTGCAAAATAAAACCAACAACATTACATTAACCTTTAAGAATAAAGAGTTTCCACATACATCTCTTTCTCCTGATGCAGCCTGGCCGCCTGCTCCTGCAGCAGAGCCAGATGCTCCTGAGCCAAAGAGAGCTCCAGGCTGGTGCTCTCCAGCGCTCTGGACAATTCCTCGTTGGTCGTTTTCAGCTTGACATTCTCCACGTGGCTCTCCTGCCTCTCGCTATTCAGCTCATGGCACTGGAGCTCTAACTGCCAAAAAAAAGTGTTTTTGTTTTTCCTAATTATCCAAACAAGTATCTGCAGCTAAGCATGCAGCATAGATATGGTTTTGTCTGGCAAAGTAATACAAAAAAGCAGTTTCCTTTTGCTGTTAAACGCAGAAGTAATAATATTTAAATTGTTTTTATGAAAGACCAATTCT